CCATAATTTCCTCCCTTTGGCTATTTGACTCAACATCTTTTTCACTCATGTAACGACTAAACAAAATTAAAATCCTCTCTTATATACCACCTCTCCCCTCCAAGTTCCTTAATCAAATTTGTAATTTATTTTCAACATTTCCCCCAAATGTGAAATAGGGTATGTACATTACTTTAGTTACTTTTTATTTCATTTGTACTCCCACCATCCTTCCACTCCAAGAAAATCCTTTCCATCTAAAACAGGGAAATTTTTTTTAAGTTGTTGACTACACCACACATTACTCTATTAGTTTTTTTCACATTTACTAGTTTGAACACTCACTCCACATCTTCCTCTCCCCACAACGTCACACATTACTCTATCATTTTTTTTCTACAACAAAACAACATTTGACTTTTGCTCTAAAATCACCTTTCAAGCCTCACTTTGTTTACACTCTCCCCAATCCTCTAATAGTCGATGTAAGCACCTTTATATTTTAACATGGTTACAATCTCCCTTACCCCTAACCATTTCCTTTTTATCCATTTTTCTCCATATCCTCCAATTTTCCTATAATATCCCCTCACCTCTATATGTCATTCTCATCTTCTTTACTAATTCCCAAATTAGCCACATTTTCCCTCTCCCCCACTCCACTATTCTATTCATACCCTAATTAAGGAGGAATTCTGGGGAATAAACTAACAGACTTTGATGAATAAATTTCGTTGAGTGAAAATAAAAATCTAGCAATTATCACTTCTCATGATCAAATATTACCATATTAACGCTCAATGTAGACATCCTAATCCAAAACCTTTTATTTTGGTCTCCATTTCCCTCAAATCAACCATCACTATTAACTTAGCAAAACCAAACAATATGTTCATCTTTGTAATAAGAATGAAAACATCTTCAACTTGCCTCTATATACAAAAAATTATATATAATGATTATGCCTCAAAACCATCCAAGAAATTTGTAAAATAGAAAGAAACCCTAAACTCTAAATTTGTTAAATTTAAAGAAACCTTTTTTTTTCATCATCACAAGCCTTGTTGTCATTTGATCTTGATCTTCTTGTTTCCCTCCTCCTTGGTTGCACTGTGATCCACTCACCCTCACCATCACTCTACTCACTTTCTCTCTCGTCTCTCTTATTTTTCCAATCAACCAATTAAATCAATACAACTCATCAAACTCAAAATTTTTTTTTGAAGTGTTTATAACCCATTTGAAAAATTAAACATAATCATCCAAAAGATCAACCTCAAACCTATGAGGTTGAGGGACAACTTCGCTACCCATAATTTATTTCACGCTAGCGAGCAAGATAACTCACTCCTCATCACATGGAAATTACTCTTGCAATGGTGAACATGAAAATTTTTTATCCTCTCCTTAAGATTCTTACTCATTCATTTGCATTTTTGATGGTATAACATTTCAAAAGCAAAAAGCAAAAAGAAGAGTATTAGAGAAATAATGAGTCTTAAAATCCTAATGACTATAAGGATGAGTTAAGCTCAATGAGACATATATTTCTAAAAGCCTTCTTTTAATTTCTATCCTATTAATAAGAAAATACATATTATTTGATCAAAACTATGAATCAATATTTAATAAATATTAATATTATATTTAATTTTGAAATAAAAACTAGTGTGTTACAAATGTCAATTGTAAGTGAGGTACATTAGGACATGAATGAAGATGTTAGAGGAGAGGCTTAGGCCTTTCTTTATATTGTTGTTTTGATTGATCTTACTTTAACAAGATTGTGACATCGAAAAGTGTGTATTTTAGCTATAATTTTATGTGTCCAATTTGATCCAAAACTTTATTTGTCAAACTAAGGAATTTCATCTTTGACACTTAGGGATCTCTTTGAGTATGACCACCAAAGTAGAATTTTAATAATCACAGGAAGCATCAAATCCAAATCATAAGAAATGCAAATTTAAATTGAATACTAGACTATTTTTTGTCGACCCACAATGACATTAAATTAAATCTTAAAATTAAAGTGGAATCTTATGAACTAATATTACAATTATGATATTTGAAAGTTTTTGGAGAATTAGAATCACAATTCTATATTTTAATTTAATGAGATTATTATAATTATGACATTTAAAAATCCTTGTAGAATTGAAATCATATAATTCTAAAATCTAATTTCATAACCACCACCACCTCCACACACTATTTATTGTTGTTATTATTAACAACTATTATTACTATTACTATGAGTTGTCTTTGCTTTTTTCATGCACTCAATCACCTTTTACTATTATAACTATCAATTTTCCTTATTATTATTATTATTATTATTATCTTAATATTATTTTATAATATTATAATTAATTTTATTAGTAACACATAAGTACAACACTATTATAACACAATAACACTCTAATAATACTATAATTACAGTAGTTATTTTATGATATTATTATTTTAAAATATATTAATATATTTTATAATATTATTATGGCTTAAATATCTTTTTGGTCTCTATAATATGCCTCTTTTTTATTTTTAGTTCCTGAATTTTTTTTTCTTAACTGTTAGTCCTTGTTATATTTTTTATTATGCTTTTGCTCCTCACCATTAAAGTTCACCTTTAATAGATGAGGTGTCCATTAATTTGAGAAGTCAACATGTATTTTACCTTGTCATGTCATTTAATATTGTCCATGCCATTTAATTTATTAAAAAAAAATAAATATTGTAATAAGAGTTACACATTTGGCCAGGCAAACTTTGAAGCTGCATTTCGATTGAGACGCGTTCTTGAAACTAACCCTAAATATCCCTACACATCCTAACACCTTAACCCTCTTTCTTTCAATAGTTAAAGTTATTCTTCTCAAAACGAGAGACCAGCAACGCCACATTATCTCCTCACTTGCAACTTATATGATGTCATACACAAGAAGACGATGAACTTCCTTTACAAGCCAACCTAAATGATGTGTGATGTGTTCATAGAACGAGCCATCTTTGCAAGCCAACCTAACTGTTGCTTTCTATGCGTGCTATGTTCTATTCAGTTTCAATGCACAAATCTTGTCCTACCAAACAATTTTTTCTATGCGTATTGTGTTTTTCACGAGGTTACATTACCCATCTTTAAATTTAATTTAAAGCTGGACGATGTATTGTAATAGTAATACTATTTTAATAAATTAAATGACACAAACAATATTAAATGAGGTGGCAAGATGAAATACACATTGATGTGTCATCTATATTAACAGTGAATATTTAATGACGAGGACCAAAAGCAAAATAAAAAATATAACAAAGGACTAAAAGTTAAGCAAAAAATTTTGGGGATGGAAAACAAAAAAGAGATATATTATAAGGACCAAAAAGATATTTAAACCTATTATTATTTTATTAATTACCCTAAACTCACTTACCAATTATCATGTAATTTATACCTAGACACATGCCACACGCACTCTTGCCATTCAACTTCCTCACTTTTTGGTAAGTTTTGAGTCACTGTTCACTTCATTATAGTCTAACGATTAGACTAAATAATAAAAAAATTCTACTATTTATTTTCACTTAATATATGATTTGTAGATTAATATTCAAGTTGAGAAATGAATGCATGAAGACTACTTGAATAATATTTGAAACTTAGATAATTTTTATTATGTTTGAGGGACTACCTTAATTTTAAATGTTGAAATACATTAATTTCAAATAATAGACTATGTTTAACTTCTATAATTTCATATTTTTTAGATTAATTTTTTTATTTACGCTTGAAATTTATTTACACTTATTTAATAATAAGCTTTAATTAAATTTTGAAATAAAATAATGCATTTTAATGTTTTTTAAAAAAATATATCAACCATTTTTTTTTTTAAGAAAATCAATTAAACTGATTCAGACCAATTCATTGTTAATTGATTTGGTTTGGATCACAAATTCTTTTATAGTAAATTCAATCCAAACTAAACTAATCAAAATTTATTAAATCAAACTTTATTAGTTTACTTCAAATCTAAATCAAATCCATCTATAAAAACTTACTTCTAAGATATTATGAGCAATTCATGTACTCACGAAGTTGGGAGTATAACAATGAAATCCAAGTTAAAAAAATTGTTTCTCATTTGAATAGTTCGGCATTAGCAATTCTACGGTTTGGAAACAATGAGATAGCATCTTCCAAAAAACTTTGTGCTACACATATACCATAAAATTAGAAAGCCAATTACATGGGTCTTGAAAAATTAAATTGGCTTCAGTGATATGCTAATAACATCACAAAATCAGCATTTTCTAGATTGTTTGAAGTGCAAGTTGATCACGTAATGGGTGAGAAATTATTAGGTACTCATGTATTACATGTCCCTAATTTTTATATAATATATAACTAAATATTATTAATTATTTGTCGTAAATTAAAAAACTTAGATACATATTTTTTATTAATTAACTGATATCATGACACTACTAGAAATATAGTATTTTCCTACAAATTTTTATGCAAAAAAATATTTGCATGAAATTGCTACGAAAATTTCTACCAAAAAAGAATTTTCAAGAAATTATTACGAGTATTTTTGTGACTTTGAGTTCGTAGAAAATTCTTACAAAATTTTCTACCAAAATTATTAATTTTATGAATTTTTTGCCAATAAAAATTTCTAGAAAAAATCGCAGGAATTTCCTTCAAATTTTATTTAGAATATAAATTTGCAAGAAATGTTAAATTTTTTAGTAATGTCAAAATATGTTTTCTGTAATTTTTCTTATAAATTAAATTAGCAGGAAAATATATTTAATTTAATTTATTTATTTATAGTTTTTTTATTAATTTAAAAACAAAAAATTAAAATTCAACTAATTACCTATTGCACCCACAAGAAACCCACACACATCGTGTTGTGTACAATATGAAACACGAGAAATCCTCCGCACCATACCCACTGCTTATGAGACGCACTGTATCCACCGCTTAGAGAAACATGAGAAATCCACCGCACCGCACTGCATAGAAATCCACCGCGTAGAGAAACTCATTCCTCCGTCACCTCTTAAGATCGTTCCTCCGTCACCTCTTAGATCGCATCGCACCAGTGACTTGCTCAAGTAAATATAATGACTTTTCTTTTGATTTTGCGGTGATTTATTTACTCTTTTCGTGCTTCTTCGTTGTAATTTGTGATTTATCTTATTTCGAATTCTATGTATCTTCATAGGTTAAAGAAGAAGACAAACTCTCCTTTTGTTTTGTCTCTCGTTTTCCTAATTCTTCTCTCTACTAGGGTTTATATATATGTTTCCTTTTACCAAGATTTTGGTTGTTCTACTCTGTGTAGTGTAATTGATTTTTTACTTTACTAATTTTCAGGTCAAGGAATGTTTTGAATGAGCATGCAATTGATAATCCAAAGGAGATTGATTCTACAATTAATGAGTAGTATTTCTCTCATGCAGTTTCTCATTCTCTTTTTTCTTTTTCTTTTTTTCGAAATCATTCTACAGTTGAAAAATTGTGTGCGCTCTATAAAGGTACATGTACTGCAGTTTGCTTATGTGCATGTATGTTCGATTGTCATATTTGTGGTTTATAGATTAAGCCTCTAGTGGAACCAACGAAGCATATTATAAAAGAGACTAGAATAAAGTACTCTTGGCATGATTTTGTCTCTAAAAGTAAGCACTAGTGTGATTGTATTTTGGCATTGTTAATGGAAGATTTTTCTCCTCTTTTATAGATTTTGCATGTTTATTCACTTCTATGACATCGATTTCAGCTTTCCAATCTGTAAACAGTGACACATAATGTTTGATTACTAGTTTCCTATAGCTGAATAATAAATGCAATTATTTTTGAGGTTGTTTCAAAATAATGTTTCAACAGATATTACTTGTAATTGGGGAAGCTTTTTCCATACCATTTTTGAATTTTCATTTCCCTGCATGTGCTGCCCTAAATAATCTCATCTATATTGTCATAGAATTATGTATGTCTCCTCCAATATTTAAAGTTGGTGATTTAACATGTTTATCACTAGTTATGTTCAGACACTCAAATTCTGAAAAGGTTGGAATATACAGGCTTCCGTTTAGGATTCTTTGCTCCAACTATATTGCATAATTTGCATTAACAGAGTCTTGATTATTTAGTTGAAAATAGAGGACCTGTTGGACTTTAGTACCACAAATTTCTTTCTGACTAAGTAACTTATGGGGCAGATATGTATTTGTGTTGAAATATATTCCCAACTGAGGGAGGTTTGATAACTTGGTGATTCAATCCATCCAAACAAACCAAAATATAGAAGTCTAGTTAAAATAAGTTTGAGAGTGAATATAGAATAGCTTTTAGGTGATGTGTAAAAACACAATGGTGTTCTAGTTTATAATTTTTACCTTCAATTTAACTATTCTATAAAATTATTTAGTCTATTAAGTGATAACATTTTTAAGAGATATTTATGGGTTAAAGTTTTTTTTAGACATTTTTCTTAATTTTTCAATTTTATATTAAATTAAATTTAATATTTTTAAAATTATCAAATAGTAAAATATAATATTATGTCAAAATATAAATTATTTATTGTAAATATAAATTATCCCTATAGAGAATATATAATGACTTATAAATGAAGCCTTTTGTGCACATGGGATTTTAACTTGAACAATTTTGAAGATGGAGTTTTATCATCTGCTTTTATGGTTGGACTTCTGGTGGCTTCTCCAATATTTGCCTCTCTAGCTAAGAGGTAAAAAACTGTTTGAGTTACAATTAGTTGAAACCTATTCTTATGGCTACACTTTATTTAATTTTTATCCTTTAAGTTGAAGCCATATGCGTATTCCTGTTTGGTGAGTGTTTCTCTTTTACTAGTTGGATACTTCTCTTTGGATAGATTGATATGTAGCCTGATTATTGACTCTCCTGCTTAGGAAATCACAGAGTCTTTTTTACATATACACTAGTTCTCAAAAGTATAAAAAAATGTGGATCTATGGTGGTTAATTAACTGAATGTCAGATATCAGATAGTGATAAAACAATTTATCACCCCCCATGTATTTGCACTTGTAATTGGCTTATTGTCTTCCAATCTTGAATTTTCTTGTGTTTTTTCTTTACATTTTTACTTAAAGTTTTGGGCCTAAATTCTAGTTCCCGCAAAAAGTATGATTCTGGAAACCAGGGTTATGATTTTTCTCAAGGAAAACGAAGTAGGAATGCACAAGCCGAAGAAGAATTTTATGGACTAGGTAAAGATTAATAATCATCTGCAATCTTGTTTGAATATGTCTACTAAACTTAACTTTTTGCATATGTTCTTGATTTTTATTATTGCTGTTACACATCCACAATTTTTTTCTTTTTAATTTCTTTTACTTTTTAGATTCAACATGTTTATGTAGTACTCAAAGATAATGTTCTAATTATCTAAGTTTATAATGCAGTACCATGAAGTGCCTTGTGATAGTTTGGATGTTTAGATGCTTTTAATTATCTGTTAGAGGTATGTTTCCCTCCTTAACTTCCAAATTATAGTCCTGCTTCTAATTTATTCTCTTGTATTTTATTTTCTTTTAATTCTTATTATTAGATATAAATATTCAATATATATTTTAAAATGAGTCATTTTTAACCCCAGATGAAGTAAATGTTCATATTCTTAGAAAAGGAACTATTCACAGTCATATCTAATGACTCCATGATGAACCTGTTAAAAAAAACTAAATTATTAACTAAATTATAACTGAACTGCACTAATCATTGACAAGGAAACATTTAGTAGCTTTAATGACACATTTAGGATTTGTTGGCTCTTCTTCTCATCCACCTCCATCACTGGAACGTAGCTATGGAAATGTTGACAATGATGATGATGATGAAGATAGTGATGAGGAGGGTGATATTTGAAAAAGGTGTATTACCTCATATTCTATTTAGTTTCTTGTCCTAACATATTTGATTTGTGTCTTGAATGCAATAGATTAAATCTTTAGTATTTATTTTTTTTCCAACTGTGAGTGTTATTTAATTTAGTGGTTTTTTTATGATGACATTGTTATAATGATGTTAAATGAGATCTTTGACCTTTTATGTTTATAAATCAGGAACTAACATGGACTGGAATTAGACTGGAAGAGTTTCAGCCATCTTGCTTTGAGAAGGTTATTGTCATTGCTCATTTTTTTTTTTTGCTTAGTTTTTATTATGATGATAATAGGTTTAAACTTAAAGAGTTCAGGAAAGTTTTGATTATGATGACACACATTATCAAGTACATCATCAATGTTTTACATTCTATGATATGGGTATTGAGTTTATATCTGCTTTTCTTTTTAAATAACTTTTATTCTGGATGAGTCAATCATGCCAAATGCAATACTTGTTCCTGCACGCACTTTTCTTTTTTGTCGTTGGAACCTTTTTTTGGGGCTCAGGTGACTTAAATTCATTTGCAAGTTACTTGTCGGTGAACTGTTCAATAAAATACACTCGAAGCCAAGGTGGAGCTCATAATCTTGGCTTGTTTATTCAATGAACCCAAGTTTAACTTTTCAGATTTTTGGTTCAGTCCTTGATTTAGGTCTCAAGTCATCCGACTTATTCAATTATAAGCAAACCGTTCAAGTAGCTAAAAGTGGCCACTGGCTACCCTAAGTTAAGTGAAGTATGAACGACTCAAATGAACTGCACACGAGCAGTATATTTATTTTTTCGACAAAAAAAAAAGAGAGTAGTATAATACTGTTTGCGAGCTGATTTGATTTTTAACTGACACTGGTACATACATAACGATAAAAGGAAAGAGTAGATATTCTTTTTAGTAAATATAAAGAATGAGGTTAATAGTGAAAGTTATAAGAATTGTGAACTTGCAAGCATCATAATACTAAAAAAAATTATAAAAAATTACCTGCGATTTTTCCTAGGAAATTTACTTGCGAATTTGAAATTTTGCAGAAAATTTACCTAAAAAATTTTAATTTTGCAGAAAATTTACTTGGGAAATTTTAATTTTGCAAGAAATTTACTTGCAAATTTTAATTTTCGTGGAAAATTTCTTGCAAAAATTTTGTGGATTTTAAAATTTGTAGAATATTTTTTGCAAATTTTTTAAGAATTTTTTTTCCACAAGAAAGTTTGCTGCCATTTTTTTTTTCAAGAAAGTTTTCTATAGATTTTTTTTATAGAAAAAATCATAAGAATTTTTTTTGCGAATTTTGAAATTGGCAAGAAATAATTATCCACGAAAGTATTAGCTGCGAAAATAAATTTGTAGAAAAATTCACAAAAAACTTATTTCCTACAAATTTTAATGAAAAATTCCTAGGAAAATACTTGATGATATATTTTTATATGTTCTTGTATTATTTCACGATATATTGTTATACTTGGTTAAATTTAATATGAACGCGTGTATTAGTTAACGTGGTGTTTATTTAATTTAACTCAGTGACGGATATATGACCTTCAGTTAATGGGGTAATTTATTTTAGAAAATAAAATTAATTATCATTGTTATTATATATGAAAAAGAATAAAATATTAGATGAACTACAATGTCTAATTGAATAGAGCACAAAGTGCCCATCAAACTGAAAATAAAACAAAAGGGAAGAAAAATGTTAGTGGTTGAATGAAAAAATTGAACAACGGAATGACAAATTAAAGTTAGTGGTTCAAGTAAATAGAAGGGGAAAAATTTCTCAAAGTTAGGGGTGTATTTGAATACAACTCAACCTCGTCTGTGGTCTCGAGTTTTAAGAAAAACTTGTCGTCTTGGAGAGCATCGACATTGTCCATGGCAGGAAGGATTTGCTTGATAAATTCGGTGCTGACCTTATACATTATGTCATTCTATAGAATGCCCAAGATGGTGACCAAGCAACTGACAACTATTTAGTGCAACTTCCTATGGGGTGGTAAGCTAGATGAGAAGAAAATGGCATGGGTATCTTAGGAGAAAATTTGTCGACCTAAGAAGGAAGGGGGTCTGGGAATTAAGACGCTGGATGCTTTTAATGAGGCGCTATTAGCTAAGTGGCGCTGGGGACTTTTTTAGCAACCAGAGTCAACGTGGGGCAGAATTTATTATCTAAGTACGGTGATAGCATCATGCACAATACTCGTCTAAGAGGAAGCTCAAATTCTATGTGGCGGGGTGATGTATTGAAGGCTTTGGGGGAGGACACCAGTGACTCTTAGTTTATGAATTCATTGTCATGGAGGTTGGGGGTGGGTGACCGAATCCGGTTCTGGTTCGATGCATGGGCGGAGGTAGAGCCTCTAGCGAATAGATTCTCAAGGATTTTCTTGAATTCACTGCAAAAGTCAAATATGGTGGCGGATATGGGTCATTGGAGTAGGGGAAGTTGGCAATGGAGATTTCAGTGAAGAAGAGCTTGGTTCACTTGGGAATTAAACGATGTGCAACAGTTCATGAATCTAGTGGAGGTAGGGGTACAAAGAGAGGGTGTACAAGACTCAAGGCTTTGGACACTGGATAGCTCGGGATGCTTCTCAGTAAGATCAAGGTATCGGGCTTTGATGGATCGTGGCTCCTCATCACAGTTGCCAAATGTTGTTGCTATAGCTTGGGACATAAAAGTTCCACCTAAAGTTAAATGCTTCATTTGGAGGTTATTTATGGGTGCTTTGCCTACAAAGGAAAACTTGTTGAGGAGAAATGTGATAAACTCGAGAGATCAAGCAACCTGCCCCTTCTGTAATGTGGATATCGAGTCAGCAGAACACATATTGTTATATTGCAGCAACACTGACCCAATCTAGAAAAAATGGTTGTTGTGACTAGATAGCTCGACTCCTCTATCTAGTTCATTTGAAGGCAACTTCTTTGCTCATCCAAGTATACTATTGTCTAAAAAGAGGGTTGGTCAATGACATGTTATATGGACTGCAATATTATGGTGCACCTGGAGAGCTAGGAACAAATGTGTGTTTGAAGGGGCGCACCTCGACGGGAACTGCTTACTACAGCAAACTGTGTTATACTCATGGTCTTGGCTTACCTGTTTAAATAATTCATTCAACTATTCATTCAGTCAATGGGAAACTAATCCTGAACTTTGTATCATTTCCTAAGATCTTTGGTGGTGGGGTTTTGGGGAGTCTTTATAGTAGTCTAGTATGCAAATAGTAAATTTTGGACCTCTTAATTGGAGGGTAACTTGTAATTTAAATTAGGCCCAACTTCATTTTGTCCTCCGCATACAAACCTGTATTCGAGTTTGGTATCTCTTGTACCATTTCATTATATAAATTATTTCTTTGTTGTTCAAAAAAAAAAAACCTCGTCTGCTACATTTTAACTAATAATTTTAAGTTTAAATTCTCACTAAACAACAACTTAAATGTTGAGAAAAAGAATTTTATTGTACATAATAATCTTATCTTACTAAAAAAAATTATGTCACATAGTGCTTGATTTAAAACACACGTTTCAACACCTTATACTCTATTACATTTTTTTCTTATGTGTAACTATAATTAGTTTTAGAAAAGAAAAGAAAAAAGTAATCCCACCCTTTACATGATCTTTTTTTGAAAAAAAAATATTAAATTAAGGATATTTACAAACCATAATTACTTTTAGACATAACATTTTTAAACCAATTAGCTAAGCACAAAAATTATGGTTGACGTGTCTTATTTAGTTAATAGATTTGTAGTTAGCCGCTTCAATTAATACATGTTTGAATTTAATAAATAATTTTGAGTTTCAACTGTCTAGTAAAAAAATAGTTAAGGAAAATACTAAATTTTAAGAAGAGTCTTAAGCACGAAAAATATACTATTCATTTTGATTGACTAACTTTTTATCTAATCGTCATTTGATTTCAATCAAACACAGTTAATTAATTATTCGCTACTCAATTAAAACAATTACACACGCCTTTTTGTACAATTCGTGTAAATCGTTTTTGTACTGAAATTCACCATATTCGTAGTTCTAACCGTTTCATATAAGATTTTTTTCTATTTGTTTTTTCATAAAATTAAAAACAAACTAACAAATGCCCATACACTACAACAAAATTGTCATATAGTGACATATACTCTATAGTGACACTATACATATTACTAAAATTTACTTTTACTCATACAATAACTACAATATATATTAGTATATTATTAAAAAGTGTAGGTATAGACTATAGTGACATACAAAATATGTTGTTAAATCTCATCCAAAATCAACACTAAAATTGTGCGTAACTATATTCAAATAGACATATACTTACATAGACATTTTTTTATGTCACTATATATAACATTTCTAGTAGTGATATACGAACAGCAATAAAAATTTGACATCGTTGATGAGTATAAACCTGGCGTGATGTGAAAGAATCATTTTCATACAAAAACGACAATACCTAGTTTCATTGTTCTGGCACTTGTTGAGATAGATTCCGAATGAAAAACACTTGTAGGACAATGCACGTGTAATCAAGAGAGAGAAGGAGTGTGTACAAGACTTTGAATAGACTCCCTTAAGAGGAAGGGGAAGGAATATTAATAATAATAATAATTTTCAAGAAACATTCCATTCAGAATTTAATTGCAAAACACACACCTCCTTGCTGTTGACCAAACCACCACGCACTCTTCTTCTAAATCACACCCTCTTTCCCACACTCTCTTAGGTCACATGGCTTAGAATTTGTGCTACACCAACTAGAAAGATCGAGCTAGCTAACAAGAAGGTAAGGCCAAAATCACCAAGGTGGTTTCAAACCCAATTTTCAAATTATCAATAAAAGGGGTATGGAAGGAGAGAGAGGTGTCAATCCCAATTATGAGCTCCAAGTTTCATTCACGAACACCCCTCAAGCCATCCATGAAATGGGTTTTGTTCAATTCGAAGAAAACCAGGTTCTTAGCTTCTTGGCACCTTCTGCTCAATCCCAATCTTCTCAGCTCTCTCAATCTCTAAACCCTGGCAACGGCAACACAGGTGTTGCTGTTGCTACCACAACTGTCACTACTAGCACCGCCGTCACTTCTTCAACAACAATTGGTTTCAGCCATAATGACCTTGTATCAAGATCATCTTGGAATAATGAACAGGTGAATATTTTGATATATTTAGATTCGAAGTTTGATGATATTATTGTAATTTCTATGAAAAAAAAATATTATTTATTTATATACTATGATCTACATCCTTATAGTAATGATCAATTTTATTTTTCATGGTGTATTTATTTAATTTGTTTTTGTTTTTATGTCCTTTTCAATTTTAGGGTATTCTTTTGATCTCTTTTATTTGTGAAGATTTTGCTTATATGGATGGTAACATGAACTTTCAGGTGCGAACACTGGATCCCAAAGCTGTCAATGATGAAAATTGCACCGGAAATACTAGTGATGGCAACAACACATGGTATATGCTTCTTGCGACCACAACTTTGTTCTGATTTCAATCACTCTCTCTCTCTCTCTCTCTGCATGCACGTAAATATTTAATTTAGATACCCAAGAAGATATTCTTTAGGTTTCTGCGAAGAATCTGAAGGTCTCAAGTCTCTACCATATGTGGAAGTGACTGCTTCTTTTTTCTTTCTGAGCTGCTTTCGTACTCTGAGTTATTATAACCTCTCTCTCTCTCTCTCTCGGGTTATGAGGAGGAACAAGAACTTGGTACTCAAAAAGTCTTGATACTCATTGATACTCGAATCCACTAGTCTATCACTGGCTTCACATATTCTTCAAACAGATCATCACCTTCTCTCTCTTTTTCTTTATTTTTATTTTCATTTTTACTTTATTATATCACCTCCTAGGATTTTCGTTATAAGTAGAAATTATGTTAACAACAACAAAGTTTGAATACAAGATCTGTCGATACTATTTCAATTGTGATGACTATTAACTTTGTAGTTTAAGGTTAATTAATCATGCTTTGGTGTAATTAAGAAAAAAGCTGTTTAATTTCGAGGATTAATGAGTAACATGTATGTACTTATGAAACTATATCAATAAATTGAAATTATGTTGCTATGATGGTAGGTGGAGAAGTGGAGGCTCAGAGAAGAACAAAGTGAAAGTGAGGAGGAAGCTGAGAGAGCCACGGTTTTGTTTCCAAACAAGAAGTGATGTCGATGTGCTTGATGATGGTTACAAATGGAGGAAGTACGGTCAGAAAGTTGTGAAGAATAGCCTTCACCCAAGGTAATAATATATAATCCTAATTCAAAACCTTAATCCCTTAATTGCTTTCTTCATTATATATAGTTTTCTCAGTTTTGCAAGCTCTTTGATATAAGGTAAAAAAAACTAAGTGAACTATGTTCTCTATTTTGCTGTGTGGTGCACGATACTGAAGTTTAAACTCAAACAAAAACTTATGCATATTAATTACCCAAATCTTTATTAGATTTTAGTGGCTAACGTACTAGGTGATGAATTATATATTTTTGGTTAATGTATATACGTGAGTATATCACTTTACAAGTTAATTTTGAGGGAAGTATGTATATATGATTATGATTATATGAGCAAAGTTTATTTATCCTATAATTATGTCTTTTATTATAAGGTTCTTTTAGTTTAATAAATGTTTTAAATTCAAATTTTAAATATATAACTATATTAAATATTGAAAAGTTTTCTTTGGTTGGAATAAGATTGTTTTCCATAATAATAAATAAGGGATACATGTTATCTCTAAATATTTATATAATTATTGTTTTTTCCTCGTATTTTAGCTTTTAAAAGTATCTTTGTCAAATGCAAATATTAAATCTATCATCTATGATTGAGTACACTGGCTACATCATAGGCATTATACCCGGAGAAATGAAGGTAAGATGTCTTTTTTTGGAAAAATACATGTGTCGGTGTTCGAACAACCAAATGAATCTCAATTCATAGGTGAACAAAGTGTAGTTATCCTATATTTTGTTTCAAACATTAATTAAAGAGTAAAAACAGTAGCGAGAGAGAGAGAGAATCTTCAGATAAAACTGAAGGAATATGATTCAAGATGTTTACTTTCAATAGACTTCTGAGTAGGGAAGATTGATGGTGCAGACTGAAACATAGGCTTTTTTCTTCAGGTGAATAAAAATATTAGTTTATTGGGATGTAAAAAGAAAAAGATATATTGGTGAGAATATTTAGTGGATTATTATTATTAGAGTTTTGACAATAGAGCACACTATAGGGTCCCCTCTGTTCCCAAACCATCCAATGGTCATGGTATTTATCTGACCAACCTCTTCCACCCATATTCATCCATCACTAAAAGCCTTCACTTGTACCTAAAGCTTTTCATTCTACCTCATTAAAATTTACCTAATTTTTCCAATACCATTTGTCATGGCTAAAATGTGAAAGAAAAAAAAATATCTTCTGCTACTTTTTTCCTCTTTTTCATCAAATGTGCCTTCTTTATTGTCATGTTATAATGGTTTCTTTCACAATATTCATTATTTTCCATTTTTTTCTAACAGTACAAAATATTTACATACAATTATATATGAAAAAAATATTATTATAAATATAATATATATAGATATAAATCTATTTGACATGTAATTATATATAATTTTAGTGTTAATTTTAAATAAAATTATATATATATTATGTATCACTATAGTTTATATCTATATTTTTTAATAATATATAAAATATTTTATATTTATAGTGTAAGTAAAAATAATTCTTAATGATATAATATATCATAAGATGAGTGTCATTACATGATTTTTTTTTTATATACTATTTTCATAATGTTAATAGTCGTATTACAATTTACTATCACTCTTTGTTACCTCCCTACACATGAGTGTATTCATTTTATCACTCCCTTATCATCAGTGTTGTAGTAGGACATATATAGTTAGAAAAATCAAATATTAAGGTACATGCCCCTTTAGCCTACAATAATTGACAAAGAAACCCTTGTTATGATGATAAATTTTTAGTCAAAAGACATACATTATTGCATTATTTAATTATTTTTAAAATAGAGAAAACTTTTACTTGGCCGTAATTAAAAACATTATTATCACTATTTTAATTTTCAAGAGATGTTTGTTATTATCATATAGAGTAGCTTGTTTTATCTTTCAAAATTGGTGAGGGCCTAAACCCACTTTCATGTAGCAACTTGCTTTAGTAATTAAATGGAGCATTGGATCATGTGTATATATAGTGGGTCCAACATGTATCTAAACACACTAATGATATGTATAGATAAGAGGAAAGATAAAAATATTAATAATAATGTCTTTTCTATTTAGTTGAAAAAAATTATTAAAAACATAATTTAAAAATATATTTTTCTTTAATTCTAATTTCAATTTTTTCTCTCCTCATTTTCTGTCCTCCTAAAATTGGAGGTAATAGTACCCATGATCATAAATACAAAAGAGTTATTTGGTTAAACAAAAGATACAAAGGAGTTATAAAAAAATATATATTCACCCTCTTATGGTAGTTTAGTTTCCAATAAAGATTAATATGATACTGTAAATAAAGTTTTTGATATTCTTTAGGTATATAACACGGGTATATTTTGTGAAATATAGAATAAATATATATATATATATATATATA